CCAGCAATTTCTGGTTTCGGTGCATGCAATTCAAAGCTTTCCACCCAAATCAAGATTTTAAGCTGTTTAATGTAGGGTCAATACATTGGTTCAACTTCATCAAATATAATCAATAAGCAATATACTGGCAAGCTATAATCTAAATCAGAGATAGTAGGAACTGCAGATGCTGGAGAATCCGAGACAACAAGGTGCAGGGCTGGATGAACACAGCAGGCCAAGCAGCATCATAGGAGCAGAGAGGCTGACGTTTCGGGCTATAATCTAAACCCTGGTCTTGTGCTTTTCTGAAGAACGGTCCCAACCCGAAACGTCAGCTTTCCAGCTCCCCTGATGTTGCCTGGCCTGGCCTGTGTTCCTCCAGCTCCACACCTTGTTATCTCTGACTCCAGCATTGGCAGTTCTTCATCTTCTGATGTGTGTTCAGTGAAAGGACACACCATTCTCAGAGTAACCCGATTTAGTGGCCATTGTAATCAGCACCTTGCACACTGTAGCAACATGAGTTTTTAAACCGGTGAGTTTTTTTTCAGCCCAGGTTGCTTGCCAGTGGATTGAAAGTAGCAGAGGACTCTTTGATGAGCTGAAAATTAATCAGCAGTACAAGTAGGACTTTCACAATGAGTTTGCGAACAGAGTCCCATTAAAAGAAACCACAAGGATCAAAGATTTTCCCAGCACCGACAATCTTTTGAGATCGCCATAAGAACAGAAGTGGCTGGAAAAGCTCAGCAGGTCTGGCAGCATCTGTGAAGGAAAAAATAGTTAATGTTTCAGGTCCGGTGACCCTTCCTCAGAACCCAGAACCTCCTCAGAACTTCATTGTGAGATTGCCACTTTCTCAGTAGACGAAAGGAGGGAGCTTCATGTTTCTGAGAGAAGGTTTTACTCAGGTCTCCCTCAGAAACACCCAGCCGTCTCTCCATTCTGCCAGCTTCTTTTGTAACGGGGGACTGCGTGAAAGGAAGGCCCTTTTCACACAGACCACTGCTGTGTTCCAAAATGGAAAGGTCCAGAATCGCAGCCACTTTGCTGTCAAACTGTTCAGGAGTAAGGCACGTGTGAGGTTGGGTCTGGAAGGCTGGGGGGCGTAGAGTACCAAGACAATAAGCTGCCAGCTGGCTAGTATGCCAGGTAAGTTGTGAAATGTTAGGGAAGGTGGAATTAATCAGATCCACAGGAATGTGGGCAGGAAGCAGATTCTGGAGCAACCAGAATTGGGGGTGGGGTGAGGTGCTGGGGGAAGGTCACGCCAGGGAATTGGAAGATGGAAGGGGTCTGTAGCTGGGGAAGTCTGTTGCAAATATGGGATCAGTTTATCAGTTACTCAGGAGCTCGACCAGTTAACGGGAGCAGGCCATTCAGCCCCTCGAGCCTGTTCCACCACACAATGAGATCGTGACCAATCTGTGGCCTAACTCCATAACTGCATTTTTTTTTATTATTACATTCATTCATGGGATGAGGGCGTTGCAGGCTGGTCCAGCACTTATTGTCCATCCCTAATTACTCAGAGGGCAGTTCAGAGTCAAACACATTGCTGTGGGTCTGGAGTCACATGTAAGCCAGATCAGGTAAGGATGGCAGTTTCCTCCCCTAAAGGACATTAGTGAACCAGGTGGGTTTTCCCAACAATTGGCAATGGATGCATGGTCATCTTTAGACTCTTAATTCCAGATTATTATTGAATTCAAATTCCACCATCTGCCATGGCGGGATTCGAACCCAGGTCCCCAGAACATTACCTGGGTCTATGGATTAATAGTTTAGCAATAATACCAGTAGGACATTGTCTGCCCTGATAGACTATATCCTTAACAGTCTAAGTCCTCCTCAGTAGTTATTTACTTAATTTCTGACTTTTCGGATTTAAATGGATACTTCCAGAGGGTTCCTGTGAAATCTTCAATTTCCTGCACAGTTCCTTTGGAGTCTGCTACAATGGGGATTCCACAAGGGCACCTTCCTTCTACCTGACAATAAAGACTGTTGGAAAATCCAGGCCAAAGAGATTCCAGCAGCATAGCTATGTCACATTATCATCTAAAAAGGATAAAATGGATCAAATCTTACAGTTGCTATAGCTGACTCAGCTGTACAAGGCATGAGTAGTAAGTTTGTGGATGATACAAAATTAGGAGGTATCATTGATAGTGAGGAAGGTTATCAAAAATTACAGAGGGATCTTGAGCAGATGGGGAAGTGGACTGAGGATTGGCAAATGCAATTCAATACAGATAAGTGCGAGGTGTTGTATTTTGGAAAGTCAAACCAAGGTAGGACTTATATAGTAAATGATAAGATCCTGAGGAGTGTTATCGAACAGAAGGACCTAAGAGTACAAGTACATAGATTGTTGAAAGCAGCATCACAGGCGGACAGGGTGGTGAAAAAGGCATTTAGCGTGCTGCCTTCATCGGTCGAGGCATTGAGTATAGGAGTTGGGACGTTATGTTACAGTTGTAAAAGTCGTTGATGAGGCCCCACTTGGAATATTGTGTACAGTTTTGGTCACCCAGTTATAGGAAAGACATAGTTAAACTGGAAAGTGTGCAAAGAAGATTTACAAGGATGTTGCCAGGACTAGTAGGCCTGAGTTATAGGGAAAGGTTGGCCAGGATAGGACTTTATTCCTTGGAACGTAGGAGAATGAGGGGTGACCTTGTTGAAGTATACAAAATCATGAGGGGCATAGATAGGATGAATGCATGTAGTCTTTTTCGCAGGGATGGGGAATTGAAAACTAGAGGGCATTGGTTTAAGGTGAGAGGGGAAAGATTTAAGAAGGACCTGAGAGTCAACTTCTTCACGCAGAGAGTGGTGCATATATGGAATGGGCTGTCAGGGGAAGTGGTTAAAGCATGTACAATAGCAACATCTAAGAAACATATGTTTAGATACATGGATGGGAAGGGTTTAGAGGGATATGGACCAAATGTGGGCAATTAGAACTGGCTGAGTGGGCACCATTGACCAGTTTGGGCCAAAGGGCCTGTTTCTTTTTACTCTATGACTCTATGACTGTACATCACCATGCCAAAAACTGAAACTTTGGTGTACATGGTTCAGTTTCAAACCTTGTGGACAATATAACATTGTGGGTATGGTGAA